TGTGACTCTGGGCAAGTCATTTAACCCTGTTTCCCTCAGTTCCTCATTTGTCAAATGAGCTTTAGAAGGAAATGGCAAACCACTCCAATATCTTTGCCAAGAAAACCCCAAATGTGGGCAGGAAAAGTCAGACAGGACTAAACAACAACAGCAATTATTTTCATAATCACAGATTTGTAGTATTGTTGGATCTGCTACTGATATTTGCTAACTCAAACCCCTTCCTTTCCTTCTTCCCCACCTCCATTATTACCCTTGAGATACCTGACTTCTTTTTTATTGATGTTTTCTGTTTCTTATATCACCAGGGTGTCCCATGTATCTCTCCCTCTCCCCATCCTTAAGAGCCATGCCATGAGATAAATCATATTTCTTGTTTTAGGAAGGAAAAGAAAAGTGAGCGCAACTGATCAATGCATTTGGGGAAAAGTGTACAATGTGTAACACCTGTGGACCTCTCACTTCCTGAATTGGGTAGGGTGATGGTGTCTTGTCATGTTTCCTTTTCATTCCCACTTGATCTTTAACATTTTGTTACAGGTAGGTTTAAATTTTTGCTGAGTCCTTCTTTCCATTTCAATTGTTGTAGTTACTGTGTATATATACTGTTTTCTTGGCTCTGTTTAATTCACTTTGCATCAGTTCACAAAGGTCTTTCCATACTTCTCTATACTTAGCACACGTATCATTTCTTACTTATAGTAAGTAAGTAGCAGTATTCCATGCCTTTCCTGTTCCATGTCTAGTTTACCCATTTGCTAGTTGACGAGCATCTACTTTGTTTTCAAATCATAGCTGTCACAGAAAGTGGTGTTATAAGTATTTTGGACTTTTTGTTATTAATGACTTCATTGGGTTGTAATGGAGTCTTTGTTTTAAAGGCTTTGGGTGTTTTTCTTTCCTTCTTGGCATAATTTCAAATTACTTCCCAAAATGGATGTATCATTTCATAGCTCCTCCAGTAAGATGTTAGTATGTATATATCCCTACACCCTTGTTTAGGTATCAAAAACATATTTGTGCCATAAAAGGAATTTGATAAGACTCCTTCTTTACCTGTTGTTTCAAATAGTTTATATAGTATTGGGATGAAATGTATTGAAATGTTTGGTAGAATTCACTTTCACAGTTGATCTGGTCCTGGGAATTTTTCCTAGGAAACTCATTTATGCCTTATTGAATAGATTATTTATGTATTCTTTTTCCTCTTATTTTAACATGGGCAGTTTATGTTTTTGTAAGTATTCATCCATTTCGTGTAGATTGTCAGTTTTGCTGCCATAGGATTGGGCAAAATAACTCTTTAAGTGTTGCTTTAATTTCCTCTTCATTGGTTATGCATACACTCTTTTGTTTTTGAGACTAGTAATTTGGTTTTCTTCTTTCTTTTTGTTCATCTAGTTACCCAAAGGTTTATCTGTTTTTGTTAGTATTTTGATACAAGCAGCACCTGCTTTTATTTTATAATTTTATTTTTTAAACATTTTCTTAATCTCATCTTTGATTTAGAGATTTCCAATTAGATTTTGAATTGGGGATTTTTTCATTTGTTCTTTTTCTACTTTTATACATTTCATGCCCAGTTCCTTGATCTGCTCTTCCTTTGTATTATGGATGTAAGAATTTAGAGATAGACATTTCCTTTAAGTACTGTTTTGGGAGCATCCCACAAATTTTGATATGTTGCCTCATTGTTGTAATTCTCTCTAATGAAATTATTGGTTGATGCTATGTTTTGTTCTTTAACCCTCCAATTAATTTTTAATCTATGTTTCTACGTTGTAGAGGGCCAGCTCTGATCAGTCCAGAAAAGGGTTAAAGAATTAAAGGTGGAATTTAACTCCTGCCTGTTCTTACCTTCAAGGGCTCACTTAATCAGGATGTTGGCTCACCACTCTCCTATTCATTAAGGGGCTTCTGGAACTGCCCGACCATGACACAATAAAAGTCTGGCATGAGGGATAACATGTGGCAAACTAGGGAGGACTAGTCACATACTTTGAGATGAGAACCTGAGACAGCCCTGAGAATGATTGTTGAGGCCTGTTAATTGACTGTTAATCTCTATCTTGTAACCATTTTTTTAAAATGATGTAATCCTTTTTTCTTGATACTTTTATTGTATGCTCCTTTGATGTATGTCCTGAAGGCATTTTTTTACCGAGCTCTGAACCTTGAAAGTTATCAGTAACAGTTACAGAATATGCATAGTTTTCCCACACAAGGGATCTTTTGTAGCTCCAAACTTTTTCCTATATATGCTGTGACCCTCAGATGAATAAACGGTTTGGTCTTGGCTGACCTGCCTGGCCCACGTTTCTTCATTTCATGCTCTCCCGTCAGGTGTGACTCTTAGTTGCAGGCAACACTACATCTGTGTAATGATATTCCATTGTGGTCTGTAAAAGGTGCATTTAATATTTCTGTTTTCCCTCATTTGGTTATGAGGTTTTTATGCCCCAATATATGTTCATTTTTGTGAAGGTGTTGTGTACAGCTGAGAAAAAGTTATATTCCATTCTATTTCCATTCAATTTTCTCCAGATTTCTTTCAGATCTGACTTTTCTGTTATTCTTTTCCTCTCCTTAACTTCTTTTTTGTTATTTTATGCATAGATTTGCTTAATTCTAAGAGGTGAAAGTTGTGATCACTCCTTAGTATAGTTTTACTGTCTATGTCCTTCTGCAAGTCATTTAACATTTCCTTTAAGAAGCTGGATGCTATGCCATTTGGTGCATGTTTGGTTAGTATTGATATTATATTATTGTCTATGGTGCCTTTTAGCAAGATAAAGTTTCCCTCCATATCTCTTTGAATTAGAACTATTTCAGCTTTTGGTTTTTCGGAGATCATGATTGCTACTGTTACCTTTTATACTTCAGCTAAAGCTCAAGTATCTGTTTGGGGGGGGGGAGGGATTGTCTGAAACTTCAGGCCTTTCACACTGCTGTTTTCAGAGCTTGTTCTGGGGGTTTGAAAGTTTTTGGTAGTTCCAAAGTGATGCATCTGGGGAGAGGTTTGGTCACTGCTTTCCTGGTCTGTGCTCTGGGCTTTACCCAGGAAGAACCCCTGATCCCTTGGGACCGTAACGGATCCTGCTCCCTGCTCCCTTTTGACCAGAAGGGATACTGCTCCTCAGGGCCCTGTTCCTTTGGACTGTAAGTGATACTGTTCCTCAGGATCCCTAACCCCTTGTGACTGAAAACGATCCTGCTCCTCAGGGTCCCTGCGCCCTCTTGCCAGAAAGTTTTCCTCTGTGCCCTTGAACTGTGGCCCAGAAGTCTGTATAGGCAATGGAGTGTCCAAACAGCTTCCAAGTTTTCCCTTGCGATAGTTGAAGTTTCTCTTGCTGCTTACATTAAAGGTAGTTTATATTCTCTGTGGTACCACTCCCAGACCCTTGTACCCATCTTACAGGAAGCTACTTGAGGAGTTCCTAACTCAGGTAGGACAACTCGAGCTTTTCCCCAGAGTAGGTGGTGAATTGAGAAGGGACTGAGCACTTGTAGAACTTTAGTGCACTGAGAATGATCTCTTTTCTTATCCTTCCCTGGCCTCAAGTCAGCCTCCTGAGCAGTGGCTTAGCAACAGTCTTCTGTAATCTCTGAGTGAGATTGGTGAAGACCCCTCATAAAATTTAAATTTAAATGAGTAAAATAAGGTAAAGACCCCTAATAATAATATATGTGTATACGTGTGCCCAGGTCAGGAAGCTTGTAAATAGCCCAGATGGATATGTTCAAATTGTTGCAAAAATAATCACCACCACAAATTATTCCAGGATCTGAAATGAACAAAAACAGGATGTACTAAGAGAATACTTGAAGGAGTGGAAGGCAGGTGCAACCTATGTAATGATTCTGTAATTTCCACTGCTGTTGCTGGGGTAGTTTTTTTTCGTGTTTAGATTGTGCCTTCTGAAGCCCAGCCAATGGGATAAGAGGTAGGGGCTAAGGAGGAGTTGTGGTTAGAACCTATCAAAATGTTTGTTTGGCTGACACCACCTGCAGTCTTGCATCGAACTGCCTTTCGGTGTGAGTTGCCCTTTCTCGAGATCGAAATACAATCTTTTCTACTTTCTACCTGGAGAAGCCTCTGAATTAATTTGGGTAAGGGTCATCGCTGTCCCACACAGCTTTCTGGTGCATTGGCCGGGAAAATTTCCCGCCTGGAGGGGGTTGTTCTCACTAAAATCCTTGGGCAGGTACCCACCAGAGATTTCTCTGGCAGTCCTTGGATCTCAGTGGGAAGGACTTACTCTGGCTGTGTAAAGGATCCCGAAGAGAGGAACTCAGAGAAAGTAGAAACGAAAGTGAAAGGAGCTCCAACTGTGTTAGTGAAGACCACCAAATAAAGGAGACTGAATTTTGGGTCACGTAAGCTGTGTACACAACCCAGGTAAGCAAAATCCAGTGAGTCCTCTGGGCAAGATCTGGTGAGCCCCTGGGTGACCTGTTAGGGGAGAGGGGGAGGTCTCAGCGGTTCGAGTCCGTTAGACTCCCGCTCCCCGGAAATTTTGGTGAGACCGAGTGAGTCCTCAGAAAGGGGACAAGAACTTGTGAACCATGGCAAAGGAACAGTCTAACGTAGCTAGCACAAAAAATCTTCCCAATATCCCGGAGGATAGTCCTCTAGGAAGCAGACTTAAAAATTGGGATGAATCATCCAAATATAAAGGAAAAGACTGAGGACTGAGTATGCCAACAATTAAATTTACATGTCAATTCTAAAACTCCATTTAATTCGGAAGAAAGTGAATATGCGGCTTTATGGCTGCCGGTGGTGGGACAATTTGTACTGCCAAAACAGGAGGAGGAGAAGCCCAAAAAGGACTTAGAAGAACAGAAGCCCCATCCTTGGGACCCCTTCCTCTCGTTACCCCCACCATATCTCCCTCCACCACCAGCTCTGCCCGCGGTTGCAGAGGGACTGGAATCTCCTTCTGCCCCACTCTCGCTTGCAGAGGAGGGAATCGATAGTAACCTGATTGATTTCAACCCATCCACTCCTCACCGCCCTCTCAGGAGAGAGCTTAAGCAATCAGTTAGGGATCAGGAGAATTTTCCCCTCCCCTCCAAGACCAAGGTTGAATCCTTTCCCCTAAGAGAGGTCCTGATAGCACAGGGAGGATTGGGGTTTGTGAACGCCCCTTTGAGCACCTCCGAGGTGAGAGGGTTTAAAAAGCAGATGAAATCATTGTTAGAAGACCCTGTGGGTTTGGCAGAACAAGTGGATCAGTTTCTCGGCCCCAATACTTACACCTGGCCAGAGTTAATGTCAATCATAGGGATCCTTTTCACAGGGGAAGAACAAGGACAAATAAGAAGGGCTGCTATGAGGGCTTGGGATGATGCTCACCCGACAGCACAAGGAGGACCTAGGGGAGAGCAGAAATTCCCCCTTCAGGACCCAGGGTGGGATCATAACAACGCAGCCCTTAGGGAGAATATGAAAGATTTGAGAACAGTGATTGTCCAGGAGATTGGAAATGCAGTCCCCTGGAGTCAGAATATGAATAAAGTGGTGGGGGTCAAGCAAGAAAAGGATGAGACCCCCTCTGCTTTTCTGACTAGGCTTAAGGAATGTATGAGGAAGTTTTCTGGGTTGGGGGACATGACCCCACTGCCCAGAACTTATTGAGGGTATACTTTGTTACCAATTCTTGGCCAGACATTAGTAAGAAGTTACAGAAACAGGATGGGTGGCAGACAAAGCCTCTGGACAAGTTACTAGAGTTGGCTCAGAAGATATATATGGCCAGGGCATCAGAAGAGAAAAGGGAGAGGGATAAGAACACCAAAATCATGTTACAGTCGCTAAAACAACAAGGGGAACAAACTAAAGTGATGCTTCAGACCGTACAGACGGTAGCTAGGTCAGTGATGAAACCACAGGAAAAATTATCAAATTCTTATGGCAGAGGAAGAGGAAGGGGGTTTAGACCCCCTGGGGAGAGAATGGAGCGGGGTCCCTTAATCTGTTTTGAATGTGGGCAAGAGGGCCATATGAGAAGGGAATGCCCTTCACGAAAGTCTGAACAGAGGGTTTTCTCCCTTATGGAACTGGAAGATTAGGGGTGTCAGGGGTTCATCGAAATGACCCACCCAGAGCCCTTGATAAATTTAAGGGTGGGATCAAAAAAGGAAGAATTAGTGTTCTTGATTGATACTGGGGCCACTAGATCTTCAGTGATACAGTTGCCCCAAGGGACTAAATTATCCAAAGATACTCTACTTATTTCTGGGGTGAAGGGAGACACCTTTACTGTTCCCCTTACTGAAATTATTGAATTTGAATGTGAAGGAATAGCAGCCCTTGGGAGGCTTCTTTTGATACCAGGGGCAGGAATCAATTTGCTAGGCAGGGATCTGATTACCAAACTCTCAATTCAGTTAATACCTGAAGGAACCGGAATTATCCCTACAAAAAGGATGCTAGTGTTAAGAGAAGGGGAGGGAGAAGAAATTGACCCCAAGGTCTGGGCACAATCCCATAATCGGGGGTAGGTAAAGATCACCCCAATTAGAATCACATTGAGAGACCCGACAGTGACAGTCAGGGTCCAACAGTATCCCATCCCTCTGGAAGGAAGGAGGGGTCTCCAGCCTGTTATTCAAGGACTTATAAAGGATGGGCTGTTGGAACCTTGTATCTCCCCTTTTAACACCCCAATTCTACCAGTCAGAAAGGGAGATGGATCCTATAGACTAGTACAAGACCTAAGGGAGATTAACAAGGTAATCCTCTCCTCCCATCCGGTAGTACCCGATCCTTATACCATTATGGGAAGAATTCCTGAAGATAGTCGGTGGTTCAGTGTTATAGATTTAAAGGATGCTTTCTGGGCTTGCCCATTAGACCCTGAAAGTAGGGATATTTTTGCCTTCGAATAGGAAGACCCAGAATCAGGAAGAAAGCAGCAGTATAGATGGTATGTTTTGCCCCAGGAATATACTGAGTCACCAAATTTGTTTGGACAAGTATTAGAAGCCATATTTGAAAAGTTTATAACACCTCCTGGAGCCCTAGTGCTACAAATATGTGGATGACCTGTTGGTAGCAAGGAACAAGAGAAAGGAAGTCAGTCGAGCCTCTATTGAATTACTAAATTACCTAGGGAAAGAAGGGCTCTGGGTCTCAAAGGGGAAACTACAATTTGTGAAAGAGCGGTTAAATATTTGGGACATTTCATTAGTGAAGGAAGTGAAAGATTGGATCCTGAGCGGGTGGCAGGAATCCTCCAAGTTGAACCCCGCAAGGTTAAGAGAGAGTTACGGAAGTTTTTGGGGCTAGTGGGCTATTGTAGGACTTGGATAGACTCATATGAGATATTAACAAAACCCCTGTATCGGCACTTATTGGAGGAAGAACCTAATTCTGTCCAGTGGACACCAGAGAGCCAACAGAGTTTTTGTCAGTTAAAAGAGGCCCTGGTATCTCCACCAGTTCTAGCCTTACCCTCTTTAGAAAAACCTTTTCATCTGTATGTAAATACAGAAAGAGGAGTAGCTTTAGGAGTTTTAGCACAAATAAGAGGAGGGCAGAAAAGACCTGTAGCCTTCCTCTCCAAAATCCTGGATCTGGTAGCCTGAGGATGGCCTGTATGTATATAAGCTGTAGCTGCGAAGGCTATCTTAGTAAAAGAAAGTAGAAAACTTACCTTTGGGGGAAGCCTGATAGTTAGTGTACCACACCAAGTTAGATCTATCTTAAATCAGAGGGCCGGGAGGTGGTTAACAGATTCCCGGATCCTGAAGTATGAGGCAATATTACTGGAAAAGGATGACTTGGTGTTGACCCAAGACTCAAATCTGAATCCGGCCTCTTTTCTTACTAGCACAGGATCAAGGGAAATAGATTTGGAACATTGCTGTTTGGAAACAGTGGCTTTTCAGACAAAGATTCTGGAGGACCTTCAGGAGTCTCCTATACCTGGAGCCAGAAACCTTTTTATAGACGGATCTTCCCGAGTGGTAGAAGGGAAAAAGGAAAAATGGATATGATATTATTGATGGGGATCAGCTTGCCTTAGAAGAGGCAGGGGGATTGCCAAAAGACTGGTCTGCTCAAACTTGTGAATTACATGCTCTAAATCAGACTTTAAAATTACTAGAAGGAAAAAGTGGGAACATTTTTACAGATTCTAAGTATGCCTGGGGGGTAGTGCATGTATTTGGGAAAATTTGGGAAGAAAGGGGAATGATGAATAGTAAAGGCAAGGGATTGGTTCATTCTACTTTGCTACCACAAGTATTAGAGAATTTGTTGTTACCAGAAGCATTTGCTATCATACATGTTAGTGGGCATCAACCTGGCCACACATTTGAAGCTAAAGGAAATAGATTGGCAGATGAGGAGGCAAGGAGAGCTGGGGATAAGACATCCGACCAAGGTGATCCAATGTTAGTCTTAATCCCTTCTTTCCCTCCGAGTCTACCCCCTCCCTCCTTTTCGAAGGAAGAAGAAGACAGGGCCCGAGAGTTGGGGGCCCAGAAGGGAAGCCAAGGGAACTGGTTCCTCCCCAATGGTCGGGAGGTATTAAACAAGGCAAGTATGAGTCAGGTGTTACAGCACCTCCACCAAGGCAGTCATTGGGATGTACAGAATCTGTGTGATGCAGTTCTAACCCGGTATGTATCTCCCAGTCTATATACCCTGGTGAGGCAAATAGTGGAGGGATGCCTTGTCTGTCAAAGGACAAATAAGTCAGTCCAACGCCGACTTCCCACAGGAGGAAGACCCCCGTAAATTAGACCTTTCCAAAGCATCCAGGCTGACTTTACCGAACTGCCCCCGGTTGGCCGCCTCAAGTACTTGCTGGTCATGGTTGACCACCTGACCTCGTGGGTAGAGGCATATGCCACAACCCAAGCGACAGCTTCAGTCATCGGCAAGATCCTTGTAGAACAAATTCTTCCTAGATATGGGCTAGTGGAGTGGATAGACTTGGATCAGGGAACTCATTTCACTTCCAAAGTTCTTCAAGTTTTGGTACAAGCTTTGGATATTAACTGGGAGTTTCATACTCCCTGGCACCCTCCTTCCTCTGGCAAAGTAGAAAGAATGAACCAAGAAATTAAAAGACAGCTCACTAAACTAACCTTAGAGACTCAATTACCTTGGACTCGATGTCTACCCTTAGCACTCCTTAGACTCAGAACAAAACCCCGGAGGGATATTGGATTATCCCCATATGAGCTTCTTTTTGGACATCCATATCCTGGGGGAAGTGGCAAAGGAGAAAATTGGGACCCTATATTCAATTGTAAGGATAGATTTTTAAGGAATTATGTACATTCTCTGGTGAAGCATTTAAATGAGTTATAACATAAAGGGCTTATCTCCCAGATGCCACCTTTGGGGTTCCCAGTTCACAAATTCCAGCCTGGTGATTGGGTGCTGATCCGGACTTGGAAGGAAGAAAAGCTCACCCCATCTTGGGAAGGACCTTTCCAAGTCCTGCTGACCTCGGACACAGCAGTTTGGACCAAACAACGCGGCTAGACGCACCACACATGAGTAAAGGGACTGGTAACTCCCCCTGCTGAATGGACAGTCAATTCCACAGACCCAGGGGAATTGAAGTTATGCCTCCTGCGAAAGCCTCACACTGGTTGGATTCATGAGCCCTAAACCCCTACCCTTATCACCTAGAATTCTTATCCTCTTAAGTGTGTTAATTCCTCTTCTACTTGTAACCATATTGTTGATTGGAATCTTTGCTTGTGTTTCTACTTCTTTACATAATCATTTTACTTGTAATCAGAATGTGACACCATGGGGATTTCCTTAATGCTATTTCTGATCTGTTCTTTAACCCCCACACAACTTGCTCCTGTATCCTGGTCAGCTTAGAAAAATATGTTTGAACAATTGATGGAAACTGTAGCTCAGAATTTTAACTTGAATACCTGTTGGATTTGTGGTGGACCCCAGAGACTATCCCAATGGCCATGGGTCCCTGTTCCTCTGAAACCAGAATGGCTCCTTAGCAATAAATCTGTAGTAAATAGTGAGACAGGCTTTTGGGAGGATTGGGAGGAACATTCCTGGTGACTTACTGAGGAAAGGAAAGGAGTATTCTGGCTGAACCAAACAAAAGGGAAAATTGTATTAGGGGAAAGTCATTGCAAATGGACCCTTACAGGAATTACGGGAGCAGAAACATATAATTGTACTGAGGTCCAACAAGAATGGAATAGCAAGGGCACAAAAGACGTGACAGTCCTCCTAAAAGATCAGAAAAAAGCTAAACTTTGGGAAAAGGCGGCTTGATGCCAGGGGTGGAAGGAATTCTAGAGGTCCCCTATATAAATTGGGGATGGACCAACGAAACTGGGGAAAGGGACTGCCTCTCATATTATTGGGATAAAGTGAACCGGACAGGAGATCTCATCACAACAAACTGTGAATGGGAGGAGAATGTAGCCCTGTGGAAATGTCAGTATAAGGATAAGAACTTAGGAGGTGGACCTCTAGGGCCCTATAATATGTACTACTACCCAGCAGTGGGGAATCATTCCAAAATACATTGGGGGTGGTCGGAGGAGTCGGCACCTAAACTGCCAGCTTCAAGAGGACACTATTGGATTTGTGGCCCCACTGCCTACACTCACCTCCCTTTTGATTGGGCAGGAGTTTGTTATATTGGATTAGTCCACCCCAAATTCTTTTTCCTTCCAGGAAGAGAGGGAGGCCATCTTGGAATAAGATTATATGATAGCCTCAGTCAAGACCGGCCAAAAAGGTCCCTAGGCATCTCTGTTGCCAGCACAGGCAATGCAAATGGGTGGGGCAATGAATGGCCCCCAGAAAGAATCATCCAAACTTATGGACCAGCTACTTGGGCTCAAGATGGGAGCTGGGGATATAGGACCCCAATTTATATCCTTAACAGACTAATTAGGCTCCAGGCAGTGGTGGAGATCATCACTAATCAGACTGCAGAAGCTCTGGATCTGTTAGCAGATCAGGCTACCCAAACCAGAGAAGTGGTCCTCCAACACAGATTAGTTGTAGATTACCTCTTGGCTGAGGAAGGTAGAGTATGTGGAAAATTAAATCTATCCACATGTTGTGTAAAAATTGATGATAATGGGGCAGTGGTAAAAGGAATTACTAGAGATATTAGGAAATTGGCTCACGTTGCAGTTCAGACTTGGTCCTCTCCCTTTAATACCTCGTGGTGGTCTTGGTTTGGAAGTAGTTGGTGGAAACAAATCTTATGGTTCCTCCTGATTTCTATCAGTGGAGTTATTCTTCTTCCCATATGTCTCCCATGTATGATGCAGTTAATCACTAAATTAGTACAGGATGCATTGTCTAAGATGATTAGATTAGAAAAGAAAGCCAAAGGGTCAGTTTGACTAATTATCCTAAGAAAGTAGGGATGGACCCCAGTAGAGCAGGAAGATAGGACTGGGCCGGAAGGATCAGAAATAAGTGATGAAATAGTGGAGAAAATGTACCAAAACTGGTGTGAGAGGTCTTCAGTGAACAAATAAGAGGAGAGATTGAGTGAGATTGGTAAAGACCCCTCATAAAATTTAAACTTAAATGAGTAAAATAAAGTAAAGACCCCTAATAATAATATATGTGTATATGTGTGCCCAGGTCAGGAAGCTTATAAATAGCCCAGATGGATATGTTCAAATTGTTGCAAAAATAATCACCACCACAAATTATTCCAGGATCTGAAATGAACAAAAACAGGATGTATTAAGAGGATACTTGAAGGAGTGGGAGGCAGGTACAACCTATGTAACAATTCTGTAATTTCCACTGCTGTTGCTGTGGTAGTTTTTTTTTTCGTGTTTAGATTGTGCCCTCTGAAGCCCAGCCAATGGGATAAGAGGTAGGGGCTAAGGAGGAATTGCAGTTAGAACCTATCAAAATGTTTGTTTGGCTGACACCACCTGCAGCCTTGCATTGAACTGCCTTTCGGTGTGAGTTGCCCTTTCTCGAGATCAAAATACAATCTTTTCTACTTTCTACCTGCAGAAGCCTCTGAATTAATTTGGGTAAGGGTCATAGCTGTCCCACACATCTCTGAATCCCTCCATCGAGGTGGTTCAGTGGTCAGAGTACTGGGCCTGGAGTTAGGAAGATCTG